CGTAAGTCTAAAATGTTTCTCTCATACCATTACTTATATAAAAAACGTTCCGACTAGTTTTTTTGTACTTACACCTTTGCCCCCTTCTTTTGCAAATTTTGGGGGCCCCTTTAACTGGTTGCCCTGGGCAAATTACCCCGTTTGCCCCCATCCCCCTCTGGGCGGTCCTGGATGAGAGTGTATGCGTCAAAAGCAAACAAGAGTTGCAACTTTCATCAACTCTGGTTTTCTTCCATCATTAAAAACTCGTTCACTTCGGTTGTGCGCCGTGATCAGACATGGGTGATATGAAGACAACTAGAGGCATTCGTAGTTCTAATTGTGTACTTTCTAAAAATACCACGCGTAATAGTGCTTCTTAATTACTACAGCATGTAAAGTTGTAAATCACATATATTATTTCTGGCTCAATCAACCTTGATCGTATTAGAATCGCATCTATGTTTACTCTGCCTCGAATTTGTTCATTTTAGATACATCTTCAGCTCCAGAATGGGCTACAAACGCAGGTAAGCAATCCAGATAGCAGCCCGAATTAAATTTATCGCCGAATCAACGGCACAGAGCGCTGTTTCGGGCGTACGCCCAGGGCGAGGGTACTAATTCCACCCGGCTATTTACAGCCGGAGAAAGGAAAGGAAAGCATTAGCGAAGTCTAAAATGGTGTCATGGTGTGCTATACTAGAGACCTTACGATTTTAGGACGGCAACGCGACGGCAACGGCTACCAAATACAATAGATCATTGAAAAGAATTGAAAAATTACAATAAATTATATGAATAATTTAGACATTGTCCTCGCTCTGTTTACAACGCTAAATCACAGATTTTCACGTCTTGATACAACGGCTGCATTCCAAGCCACAACAAGTGCAACATCAAACTGGGTTTAGCAGAACTCTTCCCAACCATAAAACCCATGTCTTCAACTTCTAAAACTGTATTAAATTCATACGATTGATAATATACGACGAACTGTCTTTATTACCATTTATTTGAAGGAGTTTGTTTTGGCCGTCGCCGTTGCGTTGCCGTCCTAAAATTGTAAGGTCTCTACTGTAACTGGAGGACGTACTCGGCGTCAAAAGCTGAAGCCAAAACCATGGAGGATTTTCACGTTTGTTGACGCCAGAATGGCGTCACTGATCCTAAATCCTTATGGTAATTACCACTGGCCAACGGCGATCCTCAGCTTCAGACGGCGTTCTCACCCCCCTGTTTTTGAGATAATGCCGTGTTTTGCATGGCTCCATGATGCCGCAATTCTTTATCAAGAAGAAACATTTCTTCTAACCGGTAAGAAGCATGAAACGTGTTTTTTGTACTAAATAAATACCGTTTTTTAAAAAATTGGATAGAAGATTCACGAATATTTTCAATGCCGCAAAGTGACGTTGTAACAGCAGCTATTTTTTCTGCCTTTGTGTTTTTGTATTTTTGTTTTGTATGTATTATGCCTTTGTGTTTTATATTGCCACTTCGGACAGGAGTCAAAGGTCCAAAGTCAATTCTCACACACTGACATATGACACTGCAGAAATACCTGAAAATGATGGACAGGTGGTGTTGAGATCCTAAATTATCCTAGCTGCTTTTACCATGAAAATTTTTAACAATTGTTTCTGTGGCAGTATGTGTCATGATTTAGACAATTTTAATCTTTTTTATGCCCGTTTGGCCTTTTATGTTACTACTAAAATTGATAGTTCATATAATAATAGACATGTATTTTTCTTGACAATGGGTGAAATGAGAGAAGGGATATGCCTATTTCATAACACTCTAGTTTCTTTGTCATTAAAATGACATATTTTAATATTTGAAAGGGAAAATTCAGTATAATGTTCAGCCTTAACAATAGACCATATATAGATAATATAATACAGAACTGGTTGGATGTATTCTCTTATAACAGTTTTTCAGATGCCAAGAAAAATATCGAGATGGGTAGCAAAATTAGTAGAAGAATGCCCTGGTTAAACTTGATCCCATAAAAGTTAATCACCTGGTTAATCACCACACGGAGCATTATAGTAAAATCTATCACATCTAACCCATTGAGCACATGAGTAATATCGTCTGGCGTCAGACAGTAGAGTATAATAATAAAGTAGGGTAAGGGACCGCGGACCAGGAGAGGCATACCCTGATACCACCACTTTTTCGGTGGATAAAAGAAATTACTGGATAAATCCAGCCTGCCTGCGTGGCCTAGCTCCGGTGCTATCCTCGAAGAAATTGAAAAACAACAAATGTGCTTATTCTTAGAGAATAAAAAACGAAATGCTTAAATGTAGTGTAAAAATCCTACTTCAAGTTTATCAAAAACTTTCTAATTCTAGAATTTTAGAAATAGGAAGTTTTCCAGATCGTTGGTGTGAGGGTCTCATTAGCCAATCTTTAAATCTGGAGATAAAACTGACCCAATAACTACCGAGGAATTTGCGTGACTAGCTGTCTCAGTAAATTCCTCTGTATTATATTGAATGAACGCTCAGAGCTGATCACATTTTTACTTTAAAAACGATAATTGACAGACACTTAAATCAAAACAAAAGCGAAAAAGTTTATGCATGCTTTGTAGACTTTAAAAAAGCTTTTGACTCCGTTTGGCACAAAGGTCTATTTTTGAAACTACTTGAAAATAAAGTTGGCGGACAATTTTATAACCTTATATTAAAAGTCTAAATGCGCCGTTAAAGAAAACGATAGGGAGTTTACGATCTGCGACGCGGCCGGCTCAACGACGTGGTCTAAATTTCAGCTCAAGAATGAGCGGTATAAGCAATTTGATTACTGTAAAAAATATTTCACGCTTTTTCAAATAACCTTACTAACTGCTACGTTCGGCTGAAGCGATGCAATGTTTGCTGTAATTTCGACTTTATATAAACGAATTGGCGACGTTATTTGTTAATACAGATGCATGCAGATCCGTTTATACTACCAAACAGAACTAACTTCACCTGTATTCTATATGCTGATGACTTATATTATCTCGATCAAAACTTGGCCTACAAAAATCTCTAGACGATCTCCATTATTGGAGCAAAAAGTGGCTTATGGAGATAAATTTAAAGAAAACACAAATTATGATTTTGGAAAAAAGAAAGACAAGTAAAACTAACTTTTAATCTGGGAAATAAGTTTTAATCTGGGAAATAAAAATATAGCAATCGTACATGAATACTGCTATCTAGGAATTAAATTTAACCACAATGGTAGCAGGGTCTATTCTAAGGAAATTTCAATACTGCACACTTCAGAGCAGGCGTAATCAATGACGTCACCCTGTGACGTCATCCAGGGCCGCAGCTAGCATTTATAGTTAGTGTAGGCCAAAGATTTCCAATTGACGAAAAAAATTCCAAATATTTCATGGCATACGAAGTCGTTTGCTATCCGGAAAATGAAGACGCAATTTACAAACAAAAATACGCATATTTTACGCACAGACATATTACAGAAGCATACAGTGCCGTAGGGAGCTCTTTTTGATTGGGGGGCTGCAAACGAGGGGCAAAGGCCCGAGGAAATTTTTAAATTGAGAGTATCTGAAATGCCCCCGCCATTTCCTGGACTTTGGGGAAGTTTTAACAGAATTCTGATGGTCAGAAAACAGCTTTTAGTATGTCGAAATTTACAGTTTGCTTAGTAGTACTAAATGGGCGACGGCGTATTTAATTAACTATATACTGGTGAAGTTGCAGGAAAGGGGATAATGTAACCGCTTAAAATCCATCAATTGTCAGTATTTTAAAGGTATATTCTTTAAATGATAAAGGTCTGTACGATTTTGAAAAAAGAATCATTATTAGCAAATTATTAGGAGGGCTGCAGCTAGCCCCCCCCCCCCGGTTGCTACGGCCCTGAGGTATGGTAAACCGAAACCCATTTACCGATTTACGATTTGTTAAATGTTACCATGTAAATGTCATGATTTCGTAAATCAATTTATACTGACAATACAATTATATTATATTTTCTCTGTTTAAAGGACATTGGCAACCAAAATTTTTATTGCTTCATCTGAAAGAGCATGAAAAAATAAGCCGGTTGGCCGTTTATTAATGCTAGGCCCTTCCCGATTAGTATAGGTAATCATGCGATGGCGAGTACAATTAGGGATTAATAGTACGAGTGATGTTTGGAAATTTCGCCAAAATTGGACGAGCCGCCGGGGCGAGTCCAATTTGGCAAATTTCCAAACATCACGAGTACTATTAATCCCTAATTGTACGAGCAACATCGCATGATTACTTGTTTATTATTAGCATGACAAAATTGGATACGTACTTCTCAATGTCAGCATCATATTCTCTCGCCAAAGCCCAGTCCTGCCAGACTTTCAACCAAAATTTGATGCTTTTGTTTGTATTTTCATTTAGTTCTTTTGTTAAAGCAAAATTTGGTGCTTTTGTTCGTATTTTCATCTAGTTCCTCCACGGCAATTTCATTTCATGCTTGTGTTTAAAGTACGTTTCCGCCATTTTGTTTGTTTTGGGAAAATCATTAATTGTACTGCAGTACAATTAATGAAATAATTGTACTCCTCTCAACCAATCAGCATCCAGTAATTTTGTCATGCTAATAATATTAAGAGAAGTAAAACTGATGATAGAACTGGATAAGGTTCTATCATCTATGATTCTATGGTCTGTTATAATTTGCTTTCTATGCAAGTAGTGAGCAAAAATTAAAGCAAAACTGTTCAAATGTTTCATATTGAATATCCTAGATCAGGATTCGAAGATGTGTATAACAATAACCATTTAATATAATTATAAATATGTACAAACTTTAGTCAGTATTCCAAATATAAAGCGAATATAAACTGTTTACTTATTACAATCCCACGCCATCTTGAACAACATCAAAAGTCACGTGATAATCTACTGTCCAGTTATATGTGCAGTTCAGTGTTTCAATATATAAATCTAACATAAAGTATAGCACACTCCCCCCGTTGATCACCCGAGTTGTGATCAACTAATTTCTGTTTATAACTGTTCGTTTCGTATCAATTCTCTTCGTTTCTCTGTGGCCTTCAATTTTCGAACAAATCTTAGTACATACACCGTAACTCTTAGAAGCCGATGGTAATTAGAGAATGTTGCAATGTTCATTAATTCCTTTATACCTTGACCTGTCGCTTCGGTTAACAGCGCAGTTGGTGAATGGTGTGGCTTCTTCTTAAGCTCTCGTAAACATTCTTCCGAAGGTGAAGGCTCGTCTATCAATTCGTCGTTAGGTTGCAATTTTTCTGACAGCCATGGGGGTCCATTTCGCCAGAGTTCACACTGTCCGAGTTCTGAACACTTAATGCTTCGAGTTGGGATGTCTGCTGGATTATCTACGCCGGGGCATATTGTTCCATATGGTGCTTAACTGTTGCGTTCAAGAGGAAAGGACTTGAGGACACTCCAAATACCACTCTTGTAAACCGTAGCGTTGTAATCTTTGGGTTGGGATTTTTAATGTCGTCCACCCATAAAAAACGTAGGACATCTCGATTGGATTCTTGGATCTGCAGCATAAGAAAGGCCTTCTCGACAACGGAACGACGAAGCGACCTTGTGACAACGGAACCGAAGAAGAATATCAAGTATGTTCTGTGCCAATGCAGGACCTGTATATAGACAGTCGTTCAAAGATGGGCCATTGTCCTTTGCCGAGGCATCATATACAATTCTCATCTTCGTTGTGGATTTGTCTCTTCGTATTACTGCGTGGTGCGGAAGGTAATGGACTTTACCAATTTCTCCAGGGTGTTGCTCATCGACCACTTCCACAATTCCTTCCTTTAGTTGCTCCTTTATGACATTGTCATACTCTTGCAGTATCTCTGGATCCTTTCTCAATCGTGTTAGTAGATGCTTCAACCGTTTTTCGCTCAGTTGGTGGTTGTCAGGAAGAACAGGATGGGATTCCTTCCATGGCAATTCCACTTCATACCGTTTATCTTTCAGCTTGATCGATTGTGTGAATTTCTCATAGACTGACTTGTCATTGGGGAAAACACCTAATGATTCTAGTTTCCAGAATCTTCGTAATTCTTGTGTCATATCTGTTGCATCAGGGTTCAATGGTTGTGTTGCAAACTTCAGAACATGCGTGTTCACCAAGTTAACACTGGTTTTCTCACTCACAGGATCTGTTATAGGACCAGATAGAACCCAGCCGACCTTTGTTCTCATTGCGTTGGGTCCAGAATCTCCCCGTCTAACTGCTCCAGTTATTAAATTCCAATATTGATCAGATCCCACCAAAATATCAACTTCTAACTCTTCTTCGCCAGTATTAAGATCTGCAAGATTAAGACCTTCGAGATGATGGTAAATTTCTTGTGCCGTTTGGGTTGTTTGGTGTCTGAGGGGTTGACAAATTGTGGGTACTACAAATGCTGTAAGTGAAAGATCGGGATAAGTAGATTCTGTCTCAATGTTGAAGTGCAGAAATTCACATGTTTGTAGTTCCTCTGCTTCGCCTCCGAATGTCTTAATCATGAGGTTTTCTGTCCCTTCTGCATCAAGGTTTAATTGATTCTTCACTCTGGTTGTCACGAAAGAACGTTGGCTCCCACTATCCAGTATAAGTCGAGCATTTACTCTGTTTTCCTGCGTTCCGGGCTTGTATATGTTGACCTTCGCTGTCTGCAACAAGATGGATGTTCTTGTGCCAACATACATGGCTTGACTTGTGGTAGCTTGTTGCTGTTGTTGTTCTCTTTCTCTGTTCGGTTGTGCTGGTAAGTTCTTGCCACCAATTCCGGTTTCGTCGCTTTTCTCAGTCTCTGTTGTGGGCTGACGTGGATGCCGAGGTTCTTGCTGGTTGGTTGGTGGGTCAGAATTAGGGTTAGGGTGTTGTTGTCGAGGTTGGCCGCCCATGCACAGACTTCCATGATGTCGTCTACCACATTTAAAACATTTTATGTTCGATTGGCATTCCCTACTAATATGGTTTTTCCTTAAACATACAAAACACCGTCCACTTCGTTTCAGAATATCTCTCCTTGCAGCCACATTGGTCACTGTCTTACAGTTTGCAGATAAGTGCTTTCCTTGACAATAAGAACAGGTAGTGTCATGCAGTCCCGTGAAAAGAGTAGCAGCTGTTCCCGGTTTATTTCGTTGATAACTGGACTTTGATGGAGGTAAACACTGCAGATTTGCTCTTTCTCTAGCCTCTAATTCCTGTCGAAAGATTGTCATAAGTTTATCCAAAGACCATTCATCCTCTTGCATCTTCTTTGTTACAATAATACGTAAACCCGGTGGCAGCCGTTGCATCAATATTGAGATCATTAGATTACCATATGTCGCAGTCTCTACTCCCAAAGACTTGAGACCTCTGATATGCGATTCAACCTTGTTGTAAAGCTGTCTAATACTTTGAACATCATGAAGGCTTGTTACTGCAGGTAGTTGAAGAAGGCTGTCCATATGTGAATTAATAATCTGTTGCTTGTCGCCAAATCTCTGGTTTAACACGTCAACTGCTTCCTGATAGTTTGCTGATGTAATCTTTAACCCAGCAATTGCTTCTTCTGCCTTTGATTCAAGTAGGGAGTTCAAATAGTTAAATTTATCAATATCACTTAGGTCAGGATTGTCATGAATAGCTGAAGTATAACTGTCCCAAAATGGAGTCCACTCCTTAATATCTCCCTTAAACTTCTTTAAACTCAATTTTGGTAGCTTTATCTTGGCCGACGAATGACTTATAATACTAGAATTATGAGAATTCCCTTCTTCTTGAGTTCCTTCTGGACTTGGTGATGGAGGTAGGCTCATAGGGCTCACTACAGAATCAATTCTGACAATTGTAGCATGTATTCTCTCTCTTAAAAGATCACTTTCTTCAATCTCCTTTTCAATATCTTTCTCCTCAGTAATAGCTAGTATATCATTGTCTAAATTTTGCAGAATGTCTAGTTTTTCCTTTAATGTAATCTTTTGTTGTAATAACTTCTCGGTAAGTTGTTTATTTGAAGGATCAAAATCGTCAAGAATTGTTGATGAAGCATTTATTGTTCTCTTAGTTGAGGTTCTATGTCCACCCCGAATCTTACGTTTCTTTGTTGCTTCTTCACTCATAATAACAATGTTACACTCTCGGATACGTGTATACTCTTTATCTAACTTCTCAAAATGTATATAAATACCTTATAATAATCCCTTTGGTTCACAGTTACTGTATATTGTTCTAAGGCGCAATTTCTCGTTTATTTCTCTTTAAAGCTCGTATATAATGATTCCAAATACTTGTAGGTGTAATAAAATCTCGTAAATTCGCTCAAATAATCGTATAGACTTACTCAGATACTCGTAGATTTGCCAATGTCTCGATGTTCGCTTTATATGACTCGTATATTGCTCAAATTCTCGTAAATATTTCACTCAATCGTTCGTAAATTCTTTCGAAGCTCGTTAATTATCTCATATGTTCGTAGATTCTCCCAAAGGACTCGTAGATTCTCCCGAAGGACTCGTAAATTCTCTCAAATAACTCGTAAATTGGCTCGTATTTCTTGAAGTGTTCTCAAAATATCAAATTTCAATCCGTTTCAATCCGGCTCAAAGAAGGACCATGTTTCATATTGAATATCCTAGATCAGGATTCGAAGATGTGTATAACAATAACCATTTAATATAATTATAAATATGTACAAACTTTAGTCAGTATTCCAAATATAAAGCGGATATAAACTGTTTACTTATTACAATCCCACGCCATCTTGAACAACATCAAAAGTCACGTGATAATCTACTGTCCAGTTATATGTGCAGTTCAGTGTTTCAATATATAAATCTAACATAAAGTAAAGCACAACAAGTTACATATATAGTACTATATCAGTACTATACACGAACTTTTATCGCTGGATAATTTTGCGACTTTTCATCCAATTCAATCATATATATGCTCAAAATCATCGCGGTAAGTTTCTCTTTACCATAAAATTTGACCAAATAAGTTTCAAAACAATGCGACGGCAAAAAATGCAAAAATCCTGATTTTCGTAATAGAATTTATAGTCTTTTTGCCCTGTTGTACCGCCATCTTGGATTTATCATGTAGGCCCCGCCTGCGCTAGGTATGCGTTAGCAATCTAGATCTCCTATATCTATGGCCTATTCAAATTGGCCAAACACGCCGCGGAAGCTGATTAACTAATGGAATTTGAGTAATTAACGTTGTTTTATGAATAAATAATGATGTACAATGCATAAAACCCTAGTTTACAGGTTGTAACTGCTCTTTCTGTGCTGATCGCCAAGACAGAGAAGTGCAAGATAAAGAAAATTACGGACTTTACAGTATGGCTCCACGCCTGTTCGACCTCCTTGCACGTTACAAGAAGCGGTACTTGCGACTTAATGCTGTTGCCCAACCGATTGATCTTGATTCCGCTCCGCCTCAGAATGATTCGCCGGTGAATGATCCAATTGAAAATGAACAGCTTCAGGCATCAAACTTGGACTTGATTCTTTTATTCATATTGGTATTTGTCTGTATTGTAGCGTGTTTTTTGTGGGTCTAGTTAAGATTTTTGCCCTTTGGGTAGTTATATCGCTTTGTTAGCAGTATATGATCGGTGTGGCGAAGTTATTTTTCGTTGTATAACGCATGCATGCATGGTTCACTCGTGGGCGGCTGATCGGAAAATACGGCCGCCTCTTTTCTGTGTGTGTTTAACGATCGCTTACACTTGTGGTTCTAGTTACAGTTCTGTTGTATGTTATACATTATATCTTCATTTGATGTGTATTATTTCCGTCCTTGTGCGGGGTTATTTACCGTCAAGTTCGCTTTCGGTTCATATTTTAGTTCAGTTGAGATTGCGACGCATGAATGATTCCCGTCTGGTTTTAGCATTGTTCATTTTGTTAATGTTCTACGCGAGCGGGTCGTGTATTTCGCAAGATTCACTAATTGTTGAAAAGAACAATAGCTAGGCTATAGTGATTACCTTTCGCCTTTTAAAAATGGTTATTGGGTATTGTGTTTTCGTATGGTATGGGACGGGAGCGCATTGCACTGCATGATTGATTCACTCCGAGCTTCCGTCGTTTATTGCATTTGCTTGAGCGAAAGAGGACCACTATGTTTGCCGTATGACCGACGTGCATCTCGCACTACATAATTGCTTGCTTGCGACCGAGCACAAATTCTTCTATGGATTTAGCTGTTGCCAATGTGTTTGGCGTATGAGAGAAGTTCATCTCGCAATTGCATGATTGCTTGAGACCGAGCACGAGTAGCTACTTAATTTGGATTTTAACCAACGTTGCCAATGTGTTTGGCGTGTAAGAGCAATCCATCTCGCAAGTGCATGATTTCTTGCGACCGGGCACGGGTAGCGACTGAATTTGGATTTTCAACAAAGTTGCCAATTTGTTTGGCGTATATGGGACGTGCATCTCGCAATGCTAGATTGCTTGAGACCGAGCACGAGTAGCTATCCTGAATTTGGATTTAAATTGCCAATGTGTTTGGCGTATATGAGACGTGCATCTCGCAATGCTAGATTGCTTGAGACCGAGCACGAGTAGCTACTGCATTTGGATTCAAATTGCCAATGTGTTTGGCGTATATGAGACGTGCATCTCGCAATGTTAGATTGCTTAAGACCGCGCACGAGTAGCTACTGAATTTGGATTTAAATTGCCAATGTGTTTGGCGTATATGAGACGTGCATCTCGCAATCGGCTAGATTGCTTGAGACCGAGCACGAGTAGCTACTGAATTTGGATTTAAATTGCCAATGTGTTTGGCGTATATGAGACGTGCATCTCGCAATGCTAGATTGCTTGAGACCGAGCACGAGTAGCTACTGAATTTGGATTTAAATTGCCAATGTGTTTGGCGTATATGAGACGTGCATCTCGCAATGCCAGATTGCTTGAGACCGAGCACGAGTAGCAACTGA